AAAAGCAGATTAAAGGCAAAAGTGCAGGGGCTTAGCTGGTCTGTCTTATGCTACCATGCTTGGGGCTCCATTTTCCATTTGTTTTGGTGGAGACTGCTCAGTGCCTTTTACTTTAAGCAGGAAGTCAACACTACATATTTTGTGCAGCCAGAAATAAATCTGAATTTTAATTTCTTTGAAATCTAACCCCCACAGTTGGATGGTTCTAAGAAGTTCTTGACTAAGTGTCATTTAGATGTGGTTCCATCCGTGTTTCTTAGGAAGTTTTTATGAGCCCTTTAAAGTTTTCCTTTGCCTGTATTTCAGAAAAAAAAGTATTTCTTAGCTTAAAAAAATATTAAATTGCTACTGAATTTCAAACTATAAAGTCACGGTTATACAAAACTAAACTGTGACATTTTGTAAGGTTGTCAATACATTTAAATGTATTATTTCATCTGACTGAAATGTGGTAGATGTGGCTCAAAGGTTGGTTCAGTCTCAAAGAGAACTGCATCACAGGCAGTTGAGTTTTACACAGCTCTTCCTCAAGTAGAAGGAAAAAGTTCTCTGTATCCACACAGAAAATTCTTAACTTCTGGCCTACATATGTAGACGTCAGTATCTATGTGGGCCCTTTGAAATCAACTGGACTTCAGGAAAAGACAAAGATTATCATAGCAGGGATTTACTTTTATACATAGATATTACAAAACTTTTTCTCCCTCTCTCTCTAAAGGCTAGCCTTCACTAGGTGCTACAAAGGAAGCTATTATATATCTTAAAGGTTTTCCTAATAATCTTTATATGCAAACATTCTGATTAATGAAAAATCACTTGAGATGAACTAATCATGTGGTACTTTGTAATGTCAAATATTTTTAACATTTGGTGCATTTTCAAGTACTTCTGGAAGCAAAGAATGGAGAATCTGTGGTTTTGGCATTTAGTAGTAGTGATCTGGATCTACATGATGGCAGTGTATTACTTAAAAGAAATCTGGATAACTGCTTTTAAAAATGTTCTTTGAAGAAGGAACGCAAAGACAGCTTCAAGAGGGCTTAGAAATCTGTTTGGCTTGTCTGCTGAGACTTGGCTGCCCATCAGTCTCTCTTTTATACTTTTGGGTCTGAGTAATGTGTTTGCTTCTAATAATGTAAAAACAACTCCCTTTGTATATTTCCATGAGATTAGTACAGATGCATTCTTATAGTTCATTGAAGTTTGTTTGACAATCTGTTGAAAATACAATTGCTGAATCATCACTGCCTGTCCATTATGGGTAAATCCCTCTTACCTTTTGAACAACATGACTCATTTTGAAGGATACAAAGGCTATTCATTATTGTTATTGCTTCTTGGCCTAAGTGGTTGCCCTGAGTTTGAGATCCTGTAAATTGTTTTTGTTGGAAAAGAAGCTCATGATAAGATCAGAGGGTCTCTGTACAGAGCTTCATTGAAGAATGTTTGAAGGTCACACTTTGTGCATATAGGAAGATCTAAACAACAACAACAAGCTAATTCTTTTGCCTGTACCATCATCAGGTTTTAGCACAAAATGTATGGAAGATTTTCTAATAACTGTTTCACTACAGCTATTCCAGGCTATATTTCATGTTTTTGTACTATTTTTTTCCTATTTCTCATGTTTCTCTTGTTTCTCCTTTATATAAAGGGAGAAATCACCTCTGCTCAGTGCATTTCAAATCATTGCAGTCTCACATGAACCTTTGGAATGAGTACAGGTGTTTGCACTGTGAATTGAAGGCATTTGTTTTAATAACCTAACTAAACTTAAACCACTCAAATACTATCCCGTACCATCTTGGAAGAAAAGAGCACGGTGTCTGTGACTATTACCTGAACTACCAGCTCAGATTTAATGTTATAAACATTTAGTCTCTTTTCCTTCTATTTTAGATGTTCTGCCTTCTCTATCTGTCCAGACCAGCAACCTTGCTATTATATCAGATTCTTTTTATTCTGTTTTTGGGTTATGGATTTGTCTGGAAAAATCTATTCTTCTTTTCTGTGCACTAACCACCTTGTCTGTATAATCCTTACAGGGTGTACTTTTGAAAGCATATTGATTCTGGACTCCAAAAAAAGGTAAGTACGGAAAGGAGGGAAATTATGCAGCCATAAAATTGGTTCTTCAGGTAATATGGAGTATATAATGTTTCAACTGAATTAATGAGCTCTGTATTTCATACTGCTCAAATTACATGATGAGGGAGTTCATATCAGGCCAAGAACTAGAACTGAATCCCTGCAAACCCAAGAGTTTGTGCAGATTTGACCCATCAAGCTCTATGTCTAATCTGGCAGAATCATCCAGGTAACCTGTGAATAAGCCTAATTATTTCATTGTCATACAGCTGGCTGAAGAATACATGTACAAAGTGGTAAAATTCTAGTTTTGGTTCCTGAGATACAAAACTGCTTTCTGTACCTTGAGCCTCTTGAGAACTAATCTGCAGACAGCTTTCTCCTATTCTCTGTATTACCTCTCACAGTTTCTTCCCTCCGGTTTTTTACTTACACCATCACTCACCCTTTCCCCTTTCCCCTTCCACTTCCCCTTCCTCTTCCCTTTCCCCTTCCCTTTCCCTCTGTCCCTATGTCCTCCCTTAGGCCCCCTCTTAAGCTTTAGTTACTGTCATCATCTCTGTTTCCATCACAAATAATCTGTAGAGCATCCCAGTTCTCTCTCACTCTTCTTGCCCTGGATCACACAATTCTCATGAGCATATGTCTGCTTCAATTCTCGGCCCCACTTTCTTAGTGCAAGATTTCACTTACCAGGAGGCAGAAAGGTGGTCTAAGGAAGGCCAAGTTTGGATACCCTTGCTTTTATTCCCCAGTGTCTGGAAGACTAGGACTCAATGGTGGGGATCACAAGGGAGAGCAGTACACAGTATTCCTATTGCAAGAAGAGACAGTTTGGCCAGACAGTGGCGGTTTCCTCTCTTGTTTCAGGCCATGACTCAGTCTAAGCCAGAAGTGCAGAATATGTGATAGAAATTGCAAATTGGATGGCTAGAGGCCAGTTAAATCTGTAACTTTGCCAGTAAGACTGCCCCACCTGCCTAAGGCAGATGACATATTCTTTGCAATCACTTTCTGTTTTTTACGATAACAAGAATCAACCAGAATCTGGGGGGGAAAAAAAAAAAAAAAGAAAAAAAGAAAAAAAAAAGAAGAAAAAAAAAGCTTTTCTAAACAGTCACTAAACCACAACTTTCTGGAATTGTTTGGGTCCTGCTGGACGGCTGTAGTTGCTACTTTTCAGACAGAAAAAAATATAATATTTTTGAGAAAATGGATGTTGAAACCCATATAACATGTTCTTGATCATTCTATTTTTCCCCTTATATTCTCAATACAGAAGCCTATCATTCTAGCAGAGGTACATCACATTGTCTGTGGAAATTTCACCCAAGGAAGGATTTTGTAATAGTGGGTTTTGCAAGGCACATTTGTAGCAAACAAATGCCAACCATTCCTCTTCTCCACTGCAGGGTAATTGTGTTACAGTGAAAGGCTTTTAACTATGAATCTGACTGAATTGCTCAACCCCCCAGGAGACATTCCTGGAACATGAATTTCAGTCTGGCATGCTGAACGCACTGTTCCTGCAGCTGCTGTTACAACTGACCAGATACTCTGTAGGAGGGGAGCACTGTAAGACAGTGGTGGCAAGGCAATCCTGAAAGTGTGGGAGAGAATAGTGCTGCTTCAGAGCATGAATAGCATTGACTAAAAGCTTCAGTGTAGATTTTAGAAGTGTTATACACAGAACACCCATCTGAGAAATAAGAGTCACTGGCTGTCATTCTGCTCTGATCACTGCCTTTTAACTGCTTCACTATTTGGTTAATCTCAGCAAAAAAAGTAAAAACAAAAGTACTTTATAATTTTTCTGGTTATTTCAACCCCCAAAATCAATTAAAATCTGTCATGTATTGTACTACTTACAGAATTGAACAACCGTGTATCAAGGATTGCCCATTCTCAACAGTATCTGGTTCATATACTTAGTTAATGAACACAAACATGGAAAGGTGCTTATTATGGAGCACCTGTCATAATTTTGATTTATACTCATGAAAGTGTGGTGGTGGCATTAAGCTCCTGGAACCTTACCTTTTACTTTTCATCTTGATGCCCTGCCCAAAAGAAATGAAGAGGCCCTGTTGCAGTTCTAATTTTCCTTTGGAAAACAATACAAAACCACACTTCAAATAATATTATTCTCATCCTAAATTGTTGACTACATAAGGAAAGGACACAAGACTTAGACAGTCCTTCTGTGGTTACTGTCTTTTAGCAGATTTTTATCTGATGTCAATTGCTATACCTCCTTTGTGTTCCCAAACGGAATTTCCTCTTCAGAAAGTTCAAATTAGCATTTTAAATGCTCTCAGTGCAATTTAGGAAGTTCTGGGCTGCTCAGAACCCTCTTCTCCCTTCCCTGGGCTTACCACTTTCTGGGCAAGGGAAGAATCTTTCCAAGGACTAGTCCTAGCACACAGTACTTTAGGTAGTAGAAGACAGCAAAGTGAGAACAGTGTTTTAATTTCTCATTGTATCATCTGTGTTCCATGCGTACCAAACATGTACCAGCATGTTTGTGTGATTAATCTTTAATCTTTTTTTTGTTTTGTTTTTCTGTTCAGGAAGAAGTAGGTGCAAACATAAACAAAGGATATAACAAAGGATATATTTGACAGGATATAACAAAGTGACTCATTTCTTTTTGGTCAGTGGACTGAGATGAAAACCGAAATATTTCTAAGCCTTATGACATGCTTAACCACTATCCTCCTTTTCTAAAGGCATTTCCAGGAACAGTAAAGCATGAGAAAACCCCTAAAACAGTTTAACAACATCTTTCACATGATCAACTCAAAGTGCACTCAGGAATGAATATTGTTCTGATAAGCAAACTAAAATGCACAGGATTTCAGAGTTGTGCTGGAAGATAAATGGATGGGCAGGGGCAGTTTCAGGACACTCACCCACTTTGCAAGGTCACAAAATCCCAGATGATGTAATGGTTCAGCCATGCTCATGGGAAGATAGGTGCCCCAACAGCCTGAAAGAGAGATGGGCAAAGTGACTGGTTTAAACTGGAAGTCTTGTAGCGACAGTATTTGAATTTTAGGGTAAGGGAACAGGCTATAGGGCCAGGGAAATGGGAAATAGTCTGAATGAAGGAAATTCATGACACATGAGAGAAACATACTCTTTATGGCTAACTGGGATCAAATGAGTTCTCTTCAGCTTTGAGTGAGCTGTTATAAATGTAGTAGGCTTTGTTCTGGTCCTTAACTCAAGGACGACTTCAATCACATATTTGCAAAGAAATATAAATGTCTTTAAATATGTATGAAGCCTATTGAGGCATTGTTATCTTGTCATTTCCTCTGAGAGCAAAAATCATACTTTATTTGCTGTTGATTTTAAAGGATTCTTCAAGAACATAGGATAAGTCCTATGAAGCCTTTGTCCATTCACATTTAGACTCTTTGAGATCTGTATGGTAATAAACAGCTGTCATTACTGGGGGACTGAACATGATCCCAAGGTGTGCATTGTAACTACATGTTCAGGCAGCTAAGAATGGGGAGACCCAAGCTGTGTTTCTCTCCAGAGCTCCACCTTCCATGAACAGAAATCCCTTAGCTGGAGAGTCAAAAAGTACCATTAAGTGGTCCAAACACTCAAATCCAGATGATGGGGTTTCAGATCATGCGAAATTTTGCAGTCTATACTTGTCAGGTATATACAGTCTGTAAATGTGTTTTCAGATCTCACATGATAAGAACTCCAGAATGAAAAAAAAAATTCTACTCAGGGCTTAACGTCTAGAATATTTTCACTTCAAAAATTAAATTCTTGGAAAGAAGTAGGAACTTCTGAAACTCATTATTGATTGGTCTGATAGAAAAAAAAAAGAACCTGAAAAATATTTTCCTACATCTCCCTTGCTCTCTTTCAAATGGGCTTGGGGTATCATGTATCCATTTCCTGGGCTGTATCAGGAAATCTGCCAGGTCTAACATGTTTTTTCCGCTTTCAAGCCTGGTAAGAGTGATACCCACTTTTCTCAAGTTTGTTGAATGACATAGGTACAGGTTGCAGGCACACAAAGAACATTTTGGCTCATGGGATTGTTCCTAACCTAAATGTGGCTCTTGGTTGATGTAGAAGAAAGAAAACTTTTATTGGCCTGAAGAGAAGCCTCCAAAAACTGCTAGACTGCAACCAAAGAGGAGGATGACAGGCTGAGGAGAACACTAGGCTTGTAATTCTTTTATTTCTCATTTGTGCTGTTTACAATTCTGAGAGTTCCTTGTCTTGTTGGCAAGTCTTTTAACAAGCTCAGCCAAGAAGCAGCCTATTTAGTTTGCTTTTGTTGAAGCTCTTTTTGCCTGTAACAACAACATTTAGGGGGATGTTAGTTCATAAAGGTAGATGTTGTCTCTTTAGAAACCTACATGTTAAGTACCTGTCTTACACAGGTACAATGACAAGAATAAAAAGAACATAGAAAGGAGTTGTCCTCCCCAAACACAAAAGAAACCTTTCTAAGTGGGAAATGTCAAAGTGGTGTGATGTAATGTGTGTAGCCCATACAAACATGATTAATACATAACAAGGGCAGGGCCTGTGTAAGGTTAATTACTATGCCTGGGTAACATGCATTCTCCAATAGAAAACAAATAGCTGGATACAACTGGGGATCTCAGTAAACTAATCAAAATCCATGTAGGTCAGGACTAAAGCCATGAGATTGCTCACAGGACCCCAGATAGCTGAGGTATCTCATTCTGTTCTTCAGACTATTAAAAAACTTAAAGACAATTAATTGTTTAAAGCAATTACTATGGTTGGCTAAAATGGATTTTTTTTTTAAATAAAGAATTTCTTTCTCTTAGTGAAACTCAAGATGCTACCTTTTAAATGTCTGTTTCAAAATATGAAAACATGGCTAAACCAGATATTTTTAATTTATATTTTTAAAAACTAGTTGTTTTTTTTTTAAATCTGAAATTGTGGTAAAAATTGGTATAAAAATCCAAACTCCACAACTTCTCCAAGAAGTAATTACAACAGCAAATGAAGGATTTAAGTAAACATTTTTTTAATGTATCTATCATCCTGTATCTTGACAATCTGAGAAAAGAGATACAGTATTCTTCTTACATATTAAGATGCTGAAGGCAGAGACATTGTCTTTGTTTCTAAAGTGCCCAGTATATTTTAATAAGATGGTGTAATATATGTGGGCAGTAAATATTAAATATTTATTATATTAAATATTAAAATATTAAATATTAAATATTTAATATTAAAAAGCTCATCTGTTTCCATTGAAGAAAAATGAAAAATGTCTACCAGAGTCCCTCAACAATTAACCAGTAACTGTACATTGCACATTTTCACAAGTGAATATATGTATTTTTCGAAATTAGAGCTAATTTGATGTAACAAAAGCAGAGCACACTTCTTTTGTAGTTGTATGGATCTCCTGGTCTTTTTGGATTTAAGGTGCTGTTGTGAAATACACCCAATGGGTACAACTGTACAGAATTCTCATAATATTGACATTATGAAGCTTTTTAACTTGAACTTTTCACGTATGCCAAGGCAGCAATTCACAAACTTGATGACTTAATTTCTGCTTAAAATTCTGAACTCATAAGTAAATTTGAGGTGCATCCCTCATCTTTCTCAGTGGATATGTGAGCTTAACAATACTCCTTAAAGCCACTGGTGACTAGTAGCTTGTGAAGTATTTTTCACTGCTTTTTTTGCTTAGTTGTCTGAAGACAGAAGCTGAAATATTGGTGCAGGTTGTAGAAACTTATAAATTCAATGTGGAATGACTCATGGGACAATTAGCATGGCATTCTCATGGAACATGTATTATTGACTGTCCAGATCTCTCTATAGTTGAGAGGTGTAGAAAATTCAACTTCTTAGTAAATGCCTATACAGCTCATTGGTATAAACCAGGACAAATACCATCCTGCCTCTGAGAAAAGTTGTGTTCTGTATAATACTGAATATTCTACCAAAATTTCTAGCTCAGGACAGATTTGAACTGTAGCTCTGCTACCTTCCTTCATGCAGTGAAACCCAGAGAAAGGGGAGAATGAACAGGATCATCAGGGATGGACAATCAGCAGGACAAACATTTTACATAACATGCTGCCTTAAAGTAACAGACCATGACCATGACCATGACCACAGGACTTCATAGTTCCAGTGCTACTATATTGGGAAGAAGTTTTTCTGACCTGATTCAGATGATGGTTAATGGTGTTAGGCACAGATATCCAAGTCTGTATTACTGGGATGGTAGCACTGCCATTGCCTGTGATAGGGTCCTTATAAGTAGGAAGCCACTTTCAGGAAAAAAAAAAAAAAAAAGTAATTGAAAAAAACATTTATTTAATTAATCCCTTATCTTCTTCTCTTTATAATCATGTGGAACTATTTGATGTTTTGGAAAGGTTGTGTCTAGATTCAGCATTATCAAACTGTTCCACTGATATTTGTGATGACCATGATTCAGTTTCATATTGGCTTTTTAAATTTTGATACATAACACGTTGCAGATTAGTGAAATAAAGCTTTCAAGTAAATGCAAACGTTTTAGTTGGGAGCTGGGGAGGAGGAAGACATTTGGTAAATTGTGCTTCCGAGTCATGAACAACCTAAGTGGTGTTTTTGCATTGCCTAGTTACCGTTTCTGTTTAGTTGGCAATGGTGTTCACTGAAAATATTTTAGTTTCTGCTCCTGACTGCTACAAACGTGTATTCATATGTACTCTTATAAACCCATACACTGTTAAGTGGATGCTCTAAACACCTCCTCAAATGAGAGCAATGGATAGCATTGCCAAGTTGCAAAGTCAAAACTGAACAGCACAGTCACACTCAGCTAATTTACAAAAAGTTTTCACTGGTTGGTCCATTTCTTCAGCTGTTAATAGTCTAGACTGACATATATAGAACAAAGTTCAAGAGCAAACATGAACAATTTGCTAGACTAGTTGGCAGAAGCCAGACTGCACGAATGGCCTCGGGAGACTGATGCTGACTTCATGCCAATTTCAAATCTCTGCTCACTCTCCCAGTTTACCAAAAAAGCTACTTTTCCTTTCAGCCACACTGCTAAGGGCAACATGCGGAAGCCCAATATCTGACTAATGCTCACCAAGTGTTACAAGGCTTGAGCGGAGGGAAATATGCAACCTTGTGACCCTGACTCAGAATAGCCAAACTCCATCTGCTCTGGAACTTTAAATGGTAAGAACGCCTCCATTTCTCACTGGACATATTTGGAGGTAAGGACTGGCAATAACTGCTGTGTTGTTCATTTTAAGCTGCAAAATTTTCATGCAAAATATTTTTTTTAAAAAATCTATTCTTTACTTTTCTGGGAAAAAATTATCTTAAGAGTTAAAGACAGCCCTCAGAGTTGAAGCTTAAGTGATGTGTTGGATTTAAATGCAGTTAGGAGTCGAAAAGTGAAAAAATACTTGGTTGTATTGTGAGCTGATGCAACTTCAGATAGCTGCAAGAACACAAAATGTAAAAGGAGCAAACGGATCTATTTACAACATACAGGCAAAAATGTATAAACATGAGTGGTGGAATGACATATCACACATGCATTGTTAGGACTAAAATATCTTTGGAATTTGAAGTTCTCAGGAAGCATTTCAGAACTCAAGGAGCTGCATTCAATACAGTGAAATGCTGTGAGACACTATTTTGAAAAGTAAAAACAGACTAATCAGAGTGTTTAAAATTAGTGGTAGCTTATCTTGAAAGGATCACAGGATCACAGGATCACATTTTTTATCTGCCAACGGAAACAGTGAGAACTACTTAAATATATACAGTCAGTGAACTTGTGTCTGAGACAAACAATTATAAAAGCATTCTCTAACTTTCTTAGAGCATGAATCATCTTTCATGAAGTTTTCCATGGTAAAATTGTGTTCTTTTTAGTCATGATAAATCAATGTTTTACTTTTAATTTTTTTTTTTTTCACGGGACTTTATCCAAGTAAAGCTCAAAAACTGCAGCTACAGAAACTCATAAAACCAGAGAAGAAGAATGAACAGGTACTACAGCTTACAGCACATTCAGCACACAATCACTGCCTGATAGAATCTTTCACAGCAAAATTTGTTACAATTCATGTGCTGGTATTTGTTGCAAGGAATTCTTATGACAGATACATTTAAAAACATCAATGAAAAATACCACTGATTCCTCGTTAAACAAACTAATTCATTCCAAGTAAGCGTCAGTACTCCTGAAGCCATGCGTTTATAGCCACATTGGAGTATGCCTGAAATCTCACTGACATTTCTCCCCATGTAATATCAATATAATGCTTCTTTCACATCCTGAATAACTGGTTTAAAACAGAAAAACACTAAAGGACCACTAAGTTGCATAGGAAATACTACTAAGAATTAATTATGATTCTGCAGTTTATGTTTGGTTCAACAACTTGTCATTTCTTAATCTGATAGCTGTCAACTTTGTGCATCTCGTTGATTTCTTTGAATCTACCAATCTACCACCAGGGAAACTCTAATCACTGCATAGCCTCTTCACAGCATGGATGCCTTTGGCTATTGTTAGAGATCATTCTTTTTCTACAGTGAGAGATTATTTATTTGTTAAATGAAATAACTTTGATTCTTATGATGCTTACAAATCACTGATAAGTAGATTTACTGTCTACTTTTCCAGATGTTTTTTCTTGTTTCCATATTATTTGCAAAAATGAAATCTTTTACTGAAAGACTTTTTAATCCTGCAGCCTATGAGCTGTCAGTTGTATCTGTCTTCAAACAAAGTCTGATTTAGATTTATCTAACTTCACCAGTCTAAGAAGATTTTCTGTTTTATCAGGAACTGAACAAGCCCAGTTTCATAAATGAATAAAGTTATTTTTAGATACTTTTTTTTGATGAGGATTTCTGGAATTTTCAACCTAAGCTTTTCAACACATTTCTTGGTCTTTTCATTTCTAGTTTAAAACATACCTGTGCAGTTCACTTATAAGTATTTATTTCTCTGTCTACCATCTGGAAAGTTACATTTAATTATAATCCTCGAGAGAATTAAAGCATGGATCATGCACACTGAGCAATGGAATTGACTTTTCAAATTATTTTTATGGCAAGGTTGGAGAAGGTAGCAGATATTCACTTTGCACTAATAGAAACAGAGAGAACAGCTCTGTTTCTTGCAGTGGAATATTAAACAGCAAAACCATTGAGAATAATAATAATGGTCTTTCTACAAAGGGTCACGTTGCTGATATGGTCACTTGGTCACACATCCAAAATCATTCACGTCCAGCTATTTTTTTAATTTATGAGACATCTAAAAAGCTGTTGTTAAGATTATATACAAATCCTACTTTTTGCACCATGAGGAGATGAGTGGTTTTGGTTAAAACTAGAATTAGGAAAAAAAAAATACTAAGACCATAAGGCAGTAGTCTAAATTAAGGCACAGTAACAATTTAAAGGAAACATATGGACAGTATTATCAGTAGAGATAGAAATCTCATCAGCTTCTTGCACTACCAATGCTGACAAGTGAAGTACAAACCCATTACTTTTAAATTCCTTTTGTATAGTGTCTTATATCTGAGGTTCCTGCTATGGCATAAATATTCTTCTGCCAGAAAGTGAGCATAATTTTCATAAACTGTGCTTTTGAAATAATTGAACATTGTAAAGTACATTAGAGAATAATATTAGTTCATCTGATTTCATGTTCTAGCAGTTGCAAGTGCAAAAGCATCATGCAACAGTGCAATTTATTCCAAGCACATTAATACTATTGGAATGCTTGCTCATAGTAACAAAATTCTGGAGATTTTTGTCCTACAAAGCAAATGTTTGTATGTCTTGTACCCAGCAGCCTTTAAGGTGACATATTGAAGATTTTATTCACTTTCTCTAAAACCCCACATTCACTTTCTCTAAAACCCCACCTCTAAAACCATGGGATAGTGATTAGTAATGTTGTCTCTGTCTCTAAGTTTATGGTTGACAGGATCTACAGGGCCATTTCTGCATAACTTCCAAGGCTGTAAAATGTATATTCTACTCCTACTCCAATCTCACTTGAGTTAATTTTGAACCCTTTGGAAGCAGAGCTGCTAGCTTATGGATCCCCTGTCAGACTGCTGTTGAACACTTGCTTCCCAGAAAAATCTGTATAAACATGGTTTCAAGATTTTCTTCTTTCAGTGCCCCATCCATCTGCTAGCTTTAAATATTATCTTATAGTTAAACTTACATGGTCAAAATAAGAGACTGGGTACCTGTGTCATCTGGGAATCTGTAATGGGTTTGTAACAGAAGCAGCTCAAGGAGGGAAGACTGCCTGTTGGAGTGGTCTGTAGTTCTGAGACTCTTGCACTGGTAAAGTACATAGTCAGTAGTAGTGGATGCTTTTTACTAAATATCACTGCTAAACATAGCTGTATTAAGTCTTCCAGACTCACCATTGAGCAAACATAAGAGCCTTACCTTATAAGTAATTAAAGTTACTACTCTAACTACTACTACACCCCACTACTGGCTAGGTCTGGAATGTATGTGCTTGAGGCCTTAATACTAAAACTCAAGCACACTCCCAAAACAAATGTATATCATAAATATCAGCGTAGGTGCACTTCATCACTGGTGATAGTACTGTGACTATCTCATATTTCCTTTGTAAAGAACAATACCAATAAGCTGATGCCTGAAAATGATTTGGAAGGAAATGAATGTAGCACTGCAGCATTTTTAAATTAGTTTGGTCTTGCACAATGCTGTCCCTCCTTTCCTTCCTGCCCAATACTATTTTAGCAATATTCAAGGTTTTTAAAAGAGGCCAAAAAACAAGAGCCAGGACTTGATTTCCATACTAGTCACAAATGGCAGCTGTAGGGCAAACACAAAATGTTGCGATTACAATCAGTGCCTTTTTTCCTATTGAAAAGACTCTTTCCGTATTCACATAGAGTAAACTCAAAGGAAAAGCACAAAAAGGCATTTTCTCTTCATAGTATTTCTTTGGCATGGATAAGAAGTATTTAAAGTACAGCAGATGTGCCTATGCTGTACAATGGAAATGGAATCTTTTATAACATCTGTTTAAATATTTTTATTTCAATACATATATTGCTGTAATTGGACAGTGGCATGCTATCCTCATTGTCTTCTTTCCCAGAACCATGTTAGCTTCAAATATCTAAATGTTTTACAAGATTATAATAAGGTGACATAATATTTCTTATCTTATTGAAGGTAAAACTAAAATGCCTTAAAGAACTAAATTAGTACAATTTGCATATTTCCCTGGTTTATCTGC